ACACATAGCCAGAATGACAGATGGGCGATGGACAAAGAGGTTATTGGAATGGAGGCCAAGGGAAGACAAGAGAAGCGTCGGTCGACCACCTACAAGATGGACTGACGATTTAAGAAGACTCAATAAAAAGTGGATAAGAGCGGCGCAAGATAGACGGGGTTGGAAACATGAGGAAGAGGCCTATGTTCAGCAGTGGACTCTTGAGGCTGGATGATGATGATGACCGTCTACTGTATCATCTTTGTTTTATATAATTTTAACATATGTCACATTTAACTAATTACACAGTTGAGATAGTTTATTTTCTTCAGCCCATGTTATGCAGGTATTGAAACCATTATGTAAATGCTGTATCTAATTTTACTTTCATAGTTGTAGTAGTTGATGGCTCCAATATTTTTACTAGGTTTTCTTCTTCTTCTTGTACTGGTTTACATATTACTTCATCTGTCATAATTTGTTTTTCGTTAATAATCTGTTTTTCGATCTCATTTTACTTTCATAGTTGTAGTAGTTGGTGGCTCCAATATTTTTACTAGGCTTTCTTCTTCCTCTTGTACTGGTTCACATATTCCTTCATCTGTCATAATTTGTTTCTCGTTCATAATCTGTTTTTCGATCTCTTCAAACGAAGAATTTAAATCTTCACTTGCCCGGAATAATTTTTCTGATAAATTTTGAAACCAATCAGCAATAGGTAGATTATCGTCAAGATAACATCTTTCTCTTGTGATACAGCATACATTGTAAGCCATAGCTTTTTCCTATGTAATACAACACCCTTTAAATTAATTTGTTTGAGGCTCTGCGTTATGTCACTATCCTGAGAAATAATATGGATGAGCAATATATTTTTACACAAGGACTTTTTAGATTAGATAACATTTTGATCTATCGGCTGCAATAAAGGATCATCATTATTGAATCTAAGTTCTCGTTCATTTGGCGCGGAGTATGGCGTACGTACATGTACGCCATACTTCGCGTACCATACGTACGAGCATGTAGAAGAATACATATATCTGGGTCAAAATATCAAGGCAAACAAAGAAAAAAAAACTACTGAAATAAATAGACGAATAAAAATGGGATGGGCCGCATTCGAAAAACTCTCATACATACTGAAAGACAACAAGATACTACAAAACCTTCGAACCAAAGTGTTCGACTCTTGTATTCTTCCCATTCTCACTTACGGAGCTCAAACCTGGACATTCACAAAAATGAACATGGGCAAGATTCGAAAAACTCAGCAAGCCATGGAACGACATATGCTTGGTATCTCACTTATAGATCGACAAATCGACAAATCGACAACGAAGCAATCCGGAACAAAACAAAAGTAATGGATGCCGCGGGACAAGCAGCTAAATTAAAGTGAAAATTGGCTGGACACAACGAACGTCTCGAAGATGGAACAAAGAAGTTGAAAACTGGCGACTGTACGAAGCGAAGAGACCAAGAGGAAGACCTCAAATGCGCTGGAGCGACAATATCAAAATAGTTGCAGGACCAATGTGGAAACGCCGCATCCACAAAAGGGATGAATAGCGAGAAAGGGGAGAGGCCTTTATTCTACAATTCGAATAGAAAAAACGCTTTAAAAAAACGGCGTACGAGTAAAGCTTTTATGGGCAAGTTGAATCATTTCATAAACATCATTCACTAAATACATCTCTCGTGGCCCAACTTGGTTATTGTAGCAGACTGGCCGACAAATGTTTTTAAAAGCTCTGGGATTTTTAGCTTTACCAATCATTTACAAATCGAATGTGTGTGTTCCACTAATGTTTGAACATTTGATTCTATCTTTTACCCCCTGTACTACCTGACGCGCTCGCTTTTTTAGAGGATACGAATGCAGATGGATAATATTACAGATTTGTTAAGCGAGAGTCTCCAAAACAGACTAGATCAGGAAGACAGGAAGAAGATCCAATACTTCTAATTTGTCTTTAAAATGCTGTATAAATAGCTGCACTGCAGATTAATTGCTTGACAATTTTTCACCCGATATAGAATCGCGTGAAAACAACAGACCAATCACTCTTTAAATTTATCCAGCCACACAACACCGACACGAAAATCTATATTTTTTTGTAACTTTTTTATTGCTTTCGATTCGAATGCTTTTACTTTCAGAATTTCTCCAGATACTGGAATATATTTAGAACTCTCTTATACAAACCACATTTAGAGATTGTTTTCCATCTTTGTACATTCACCAACTCTTAATATATTATGGTTTCCTGGTCCAGATTCCATAGTCTTCACGTGGTCCAAGATCTTCTGTTTTTTTTAACATCGTGTATAGTAACGCTCAGCTCCATCCACATTATTTTGCCAATATGCACATGTTTTGTTTTGTTTAGAATCTTGTGTTCTCGTTTACTTGACATTCTTAATTGCAATATTCTCATTTAAAACAGCAGGTAAATATGTACGCACGTACACATGGTAAGTTTTGAGGTTAGAGTCTTCGACGCGATGGAATGGTTGAGGTAGCGCAGCTGAAAGTGCCGGAGTATTGGACGTGCCGGATTAGTCTTTCTGATTTACTCTCTTTTTTTTTAACTGATAAACGTTGCTCGTCCCACTATTTCAGTTTCGCCTAATTTTGGTCTATATTTATTATTTTATTTCAGCATTTATTCACTATTTATTGTTATTCACGTGTATACCAAAAGTATTGCACAATTAAAAAGAAAGTTGATCTCATATTACCTTCGCTTGGCAAGGAGCATGCTAGGATGAAGAGTGACTAATATTGTCACGACCGACGACTTTATTAATTGATATATTGATATACAAACATTTTGAACAACAAGTAGTATTATAACGTATTAAAAATCCGGTACGTTATATCTTGTCCAATTTTCGTTTATTTTATTAAATTTGTATGACTGTACATGACTTGAATTTTGTAAAAATTTTCTCAAGAAATTATTTTGTTGGCCATGCTAATAAAATTCCCGTTATATTACCATTAAGTGAAATTCTTACACAAATATTCTGTGTTTCATCGTTTTATGACGGTCTATCATGTATTGCGAATTTTCTGTATAAAATTCCCGTTATACTTTGACTAACTTGCCGTTGGTCTTTTGTTTGCAAATATAGAAATTAATCCCTTAAAAGGTTGTACCGAATTACCGCTTTAGCACGATCATAAAATGCGTTATCTGTTTATTTACATTTTTCTTCAAATCTTTTATCGAAGTACCAAAAAATATCCCGTTAAGACCACCTTAAAGTTCTGTCTATTGCGATCACACAGCAAACACCAAGTATGCTTTTATCTATTTAAATATTTTTGTATAAAAAGGCACGCATTTTCAATTTTATTTTACTTGTCGTTGTGCAGAACGTATCAACGTATCAAAATGAATGAGAGTTTTAAGTGTATTTCTAGACCACTGTCAAAAAGGTATACAAAAGATCTTTTGTATACCTTTTTTTTGTTGTTGTATATGTATCTTTTGCTTCTTCGCATATTTGACTTTGTAATTTCTCCATCTAATTAGGGTTCCCAGTTAGTTCCAGGTTATGATTAAGAATCCATTGTTATCCAGTGATGAGTGCTAGGTTATACCATTGAGAATTCATTTTTTTCCTAATTGGGAGTTCAAGTCCCCCAGCGTCTACGCATGGAGTCCCTTTTATTCAAGATTCAGCTGGTGTCGAGGTCAACATCCAGTTGATCTGATCAACAACTTTATATACAATTTCTTGTGAGTACTTCCCTTCTATTCTCAGCTTATTCAAGTGACGTTACTTTTCAGTTAATAAAGTTACAATAAATATTACTTAAGTTAATAAGGCAGTTCTCATATTGTTTATGAAATATAATTTTATTCGCTGTTTGAAATATTTAATTACTCTATTTAATTACTTTGTGATATTAGTTGTATTTTGAATATATCTTGATATAGTGAATTTTACCATCTTTTATTTTAATATTTGCATTGTTCTACTTGATTTGTGAATATCCCATTTCTGTTTTTTGGATTCAAACGTTTAATAACAGTGACGTTCTTTTTTGTAAAGTTTTATTCTCTTTGGTTTTTTATCTATTCTTTCTTCTCTGTGTTCTCACCTGTCATAACGACGCCGCCCATAATCTACCAAAGCAATGGTGCCTTCGTGCCAATAGTTAGTTAATTATTAATAGTGATAGTCATAGTCATTAATGTTTTAAGTTTATTTCTCAGTAATCCAGATCTAGGTATGGCACAGTACTAGAAAATTTGTTGCTATGATTACTAAGGAATATTATTACGAACAAGCTAGTTAACAACAAATATTGGCTCTTATTAAAAATCTAAATTAAAAGGACACAATTATCATGGGCTGCTTTTGGTAAGTTGAGCTTCATTTTAAAAGACAGAAAAATCCCAATTCACTTAAAACGAAAAACCTATGACACTTGTATACTACCAGTTGCAACTTATGGATTTGAAACTATGGCAATAACAAGAAAATAGCAGAACAATTAAGAGTAACTCAACGGGCCATGGAGAGGGCCATGTTAAATATAAGCCTCAGAGACAAAATTCCTAACACCGAAATACGTCAAAGAACTAAAGTAACCGACATCATGGGAAAAATAGCGACATTGAGATGGCAATGGGTAGCACATGTAGCAAGACAAGACACCAACAGATGGTCTCATAAAGTGACATTCTGGAGACCTCGGGAAACAAAAAGAAGCGTGGGAAGACCTAAAAAGAGATGGATAGACGATATAACTGCTGTAGCTGGAAAGCAGTGGATGAGAATTGAAAAAGATAGGGAAGCGTGGAAAGCAATTGGAGGAGGCCTATGTCCAACATTGGATAAATGAAGGCCGAAGAAGAAGAAGAAGATTGGCTCTTAGAGATCTGACAGATTTTAGGGTATCACAATGGATCTTGTTATGCATATTTTTTCAATTCTTTCATCACATCATTCTAATACGATAAATAATTTCAGAAAAATAAAAAAAATTCATAATCGCTTACTTGATTTATTTTTTAATGCTTCTTCGGCAGTGCATTGGGGCAGTTCTCCAAGTACAGCAAATATAGAATAACTATCATTCTTTAATTGGGCTAGAAACAAAGCAAGATAAGTATCAGAAATAAGTTCTGGTCTGGAGAGAAGAGAGTTAAGATTAAACCAATAATTACTAATTTTTCGTATAGTAAACCAATGATCTCTGAAGTTACATATGAAAGCTGTCATTTTGCTTGGATCACTGTTAAGTCTTTGGTCTGTACTAGAGTAAGGCACTAATTCTAAATTCCATACTTGAAGGGCACTACTAATTACTTGTACAGAAAAGTATCCACTATCATCCATATTTCCTGAAGGCTGCTGAAGAAATTTGTGATATTCTTCGCTTTCTTCGCCACATTCTAAAAAAAATCATGTTATTACTACGTGGTGATAAAATGTTGACTTAAAAAATCAGTAAATGTTGTAAAGATAAAAAATATGTGTGAGCTATGTTGCGTAACAACATTTAATATTTTTATTCAATTTTGTATGATATCATCATACCACACTGTATTAGTTTTAAGGTTTAGATTTGTAAAATCTTTTGTACCATCTAATAATCTGTACGAGCGCGATAGTTTGTATTCAAAAGAACTTCCTAGACGTCTTAGATCTTCTAAAGTCGGCAAAGAATCATAATAAAACGAACATTAAATTTCCAAATTATAGGTTTGAGTCATTCGAAAAATCCCAACAGGAAGGAAAGTTTACAAATAACCCTCTAAGGTAGTTTTACCAAGGAAAGGAGAGTTGAAGGTAATGTAAATGTAAACAGATCCTTTATATACGTCGAGGGTCAGGGGCGATTTCAAAATTTTAAGAAAAAGTTACGAGCCGAGTGTGATTAAAGGGGCAAGTTGCCATCAGTTTGAATCCAGCATTGGGTGAGCACCAAGCTCTTGTGCGCGCTAGCACTTCAGAAAGTTTAACACGGCCGGAATATTAATAATTTTACTCAGTTTGTGTCAATATTGCATCACCGACAAGTTATCTAGTTTTTTCTGCATATAAATTCAAGACGACTAAATTTCGTAAATCAGCTGTCGTAAGCAAGTTATCGGCGTCCAAAATACGTTGTGGTAATTGTTTAAATAGACGTTCTTTGCGAAACTTTCATTTGTCCCATTTTTCTGTGTGGTCCTTCAAAAAGGTATAGAAAAGTGAACCTATTTCTCTAAGGACCAAATTTGATACCCAAGGGAAAAACCGGCGACCTATGACTAGTGCGCGAAACAAAGGCATAAGGAGAAGGTGTAAGGACAAACACACCTGCATCTTCGCACAAACTATTTGAAATAAGTGTGAGCTAATGCGGAGGAAAAAGCATTAGTCACATTCTTATTTATGTATAAAAACCAACATTTAAGTGAAATAAAGAATCAGTTTCAATCTTAACCACTAATGTTCTGTTTATGACAAAGAGAACATTGTAGCTACCTGGTTAAATTGAACGATAATAATTTTAAAAAAGGTGTTATTGAAAATAGGCATTAATTATTAGTTTGTCACACTTTTATGCTGAGGCTGAGCTGCAGTCTACCAGCGAGGCCACAGGCGGCGGATACTAAATGGTCTTCAGGTATAAATGTTAACTGTGACAAAATTAAATAAGCAGTCCCTAATCACGCAGCAACGATACTGAAGAGAATAGTGGGTATAAATTAGGAAAGCATACCTTAAAACATGCTACAACAGCCCCGGGAAAGTATCGTGACATGGGGAGTATTGCCGCCGTTAAATAAGCATACCGTAATCCCCCTAATCGAATGATTACTGAAATAATTAATCCCCTACTAGTTGTTCAGCAGCTACGGCTGGAAAAACTGGCACGTGGCAGGGCATTTCATTTCCCTGGAGCTGAAAAACTGAAAAGTCAAAAGAACAGTCAACAGAAATATTCAACAGGTATTGAGATGTAAAAGGTACCGGGAAACCACTACATTAAACATCCTTATGGATATCACTCTATGTTATCCCGGTAACAATAGGAAAAGTACTAGCCAATATTGGATATTGGTCATGAACGTCGGAAACTCAGATCTGGCAGGGAAAAATATTGACCTATAAAAATGTACCGAAAATTTATTGAAAACGTTCATCTTCACCATTTTGCTTATTAAACCAAAGAACAAGATCAACAATACATTAAACTGTATCATTAATAAACACAATATTAAAATGGTTCGGTTTCTATGAACTCTGAATTGCAGCGTTGGCGGGAAAATAAATAAAGATGTTGTATAACAATATATATATATATATATATATATATATATATAATATATATATATATATATATATATATAAGCGAGGTTCCTACAGCCTCTGCCGCCTCTCGCATTTCGACCGCCATCGTTTTCTGTCCATCCATTCGTCTTCTTTGATGGCTCTACCTCTCATTATGTGTCGTACATTTTCTTCCCAGGCAACTGATGCCCTTCTTCTTTGTTGTGGTATGTAGTTTAAAGATTTCTTTGGCCATCTATCTTCATTCATTCGCTTCACGTGACTATACCACACTAGTTGTCTCGTTTCAATTCTGTCTACACTGGAATATACAGTATTTGTCCTCCTTCTAATATCTTCATTCCTGATATGATCTTTTTTGGATACACCACTCGCTCTCCTTAGAAAACCCATTTCTACTATGTACTTCTATTCTTTTTCTATCTTTTTTCGTGATCTGCCAAACTTCTGCCCCATAAGTCATAATAGGCTCTACCAAGGTTCGATAGATTGTCAATTTCGTGTCTTGTCTAATATCTTTAAACCATAGTAGAGAGTTTAGAATGTTAACCGCTTTTTTCCTGCTGCGTTCTGTTTTCGATGTCTCTTTTGGTAGTGCCTTATTTAGATATTATAGATCACAGATATTTATATTCCTTGCATGTTTTTGTGTTTCAAATTTCTAACTCTGGATCTTCTTCATCATCTCTTATTTTAAGATACTCTGTCTTTGACATATTCATATTGAGGCCCCATTTTTTATATTCTTTCTTTAGTTTTGTAAACATATAGTCCATGTCCATTGACGTCCATCGTCAATGGACTGGCTTATCAGCAGATGAATTATTACATGCCGCGCAAGATCGAGAACGATATCGGCAAATCGTCATGGAAGCTACCCACTTCTAAAACTTGGGTACGGTACTCAAAGAAGAAGATAGTCCATGTCTTCCTCATCATTCGCTACGACTACCTGATTATCTGCGAAAAATAAAGTTGTTACGACATTTACCACCGCATATGTCTATTCCCATTCCGGATACTTGTTTCCTCCACTGCTCTAGCGATGATTGAATATATTTTAAATAAGGTCGGAGATGGACAACATCCTTGTTTAAGCCCCTTTGTTATTGGAAATGATTCAGATAAAAAGTTTCCTTCTTTAACGACACTTCTTGCATTTCTGTATATATTTGCGATAGCATCCACATACTCTCTACTGAGACCTACTTTCGTCAATGTTTGAAACAGTTTTTTCAAAGGTACCGTATCGTATGCCTTCTCTAAAACATAGGTGGGTAGATAGATTTCTTGCCTTCCGTTTTTCGATTACCTGCTGCAGAACGAATATACCATCAGTGCACGATCTTCCTGCACGAAATCCATTTTGTTCTTCGATGTCCTCGTATTCTGATTATATTCTTTCTTTTATTACTCGACCGTACAAACCTCCCCACTGAGCTGATAACAGTTATTCCCCTATAATTAGAGCATTTGCGTTTATCCTCTTTTTTGAATATTGAGCTGATGTATCCAATATTCCAATCATCAGGGATATTTTGTCCTTTTAAGCATTTGTTAAATAGTTGAACCAACATCTCATATAATATTTTTGGTTCATACTTTATTAACTCAATTGGGATGTCTCCAGGTCCTGCTGCTTTGCCGTTTTTCGATCTGTTGAGGGCATGGTGTAACTCTCTGGTTGTTATCTCAATTATTGGCGGATATTTCTTCCATTTCGATCTCTTGGAATTTACATCTATCCTCTGTAAGTAAGACCTCATAATGGTGTTTCTACTGTTTCAGATCTATTAACAGTAAGTTAGATTTTTCCTTTCCTTCCCTCCGGAGAGACTTTATCACCTTCCAAGCTTACCCAACTCTTGTTACACCCATATACCTATCCACCTCTGCACATCTTCGATCCCACATCTCATTTTTACTTTTCACTGCTTCTCTTTTTACATCTCGATTTAATTTTTGATATATCTTGTAATCTTCCTCCTTTCTCGTTGACATCCATTTCTGATAAGCAGTTTCCTTCTTGTTGACTAACGTTTGCATATTCTCCGACCACCAGATTCTTGATTTTTTGTTTCGTGTTTGTCTTTATAACTCAAGGCTTCACTTACAGCCTCATGAATGCATTTTTTAAATTGCTGATATAATTTTTTCGCTGATATATTTTCTCGATCCACATTTTGTAATTTTGTGGTCAGTCATAATTTCGTAATGAAATTTCGTTGAATCTTCTTTTAAAGCTTTCTAGGTTATATTTAGGGGATGTTACTTGTCCCTTTTCTATATTCTGTACCTGAGTGTTATTGTTTTTGCAATAGTTAACTATCACGTTGGCCATAAGTAAAGGATGGTCGGATCCACATTCTGATCCAGGGTATACCCTTACGTCTGTTGTTTTCAGCTGGGAAGTTTGACGTTGGATTACATAGTAGATTATCAAGCGCAGATTCCTAGTAGATATTCCATATAAATTTATGGATGTCTCTATGTTGAAAAAATCCAATTCCCCATATCTTCCTACGACTCTGTTATTTTCTTCTCTCCCTACTCTGCCGTTTAAATCTCGTAGCATAAAGATTTCACAGTTTTCTTTAATTTCAGAGAGTATTTCATTCATCTTGTAGAAATCGTCTTTACTTTCTGGATCTGCATCTTCATTTGGGGCATACACTCCGACATTTTTCTTTGCCGTTGTATTAGTCGTCTTTGTTTGATCCATCCTTTTTATTCGAGGCTTTTATTCGAAATTTTTACCATTTATTTGTTTTGACAAGGGATGAGTTGCTAGCCCATCGCCTTAACCTCTCAACCCTTATGTACAGGAAAATGTGGAAACTTATACTGAAAACCTACAAATATTTTTAATTGTAAATGGCAATTATCAACAGTTAGCTGAGATTTTATTTTTTGTTAATTATTTGGATAAAAGTGAAAATTTCATAATGATCGAGGCCTTAAAAAAGAGCATATGTTGCTGGTAGAAATGTTTTAAAAACTCATAAACCTCGTAAATATGCATGCCCAAAAAAATAAATGAAACCTAAAAACATGCACCATATTAATTTTATAGGAAATTGGGAGACAGGGTAGGATTTGCATGTGCTAATGA